ACTGTTGAGCTATCGTCGTTCTGTGAAGATAGTGAATTGGCATGCTTCATGCTAATTTGCGAGGGCCTGAAGGGAAGCGAATTGTCAGGTATGCACGCACCATGGCGCGATCGGAATCATATGGTGTGCTTCAGAAGGAACTTCAGTACTAAATTGTGGCTCTCCACCGGTGGCTAATGGATACATGGTCAAACTAGGCCCACGGTTGATCTGCAGTTGGTGGCCGCCATTTTACAAGGTGCGAACGTTTGTGTTTAAACTTCGCACTTGCCACAGACAGTCCATGGTCAGCACACAACTGAAGGAGTCGGTCTCCATTGTCTGTCCGTTGGGGCATAAGCCGACACTACAAACAGGTACCGCTTTTTATGCCGAGAGGAACTGAGCTTGATTGAACTGGATAACCGGATGGCGCAAAGACGATTGTTCACTGGGATTCAATCCAGCAAAGCTCGTTCAACTCTGGGGGGTGAGTGCAACTCTCACATCGGATACACGGAGGGGAAATGTGAGGTCATCGAGATTAGTTCATCCCTGGCGTTCTGAGATGCATAACCACGCTTGGGTCTTGTATGCGTGTTTCGGAGACACAGCACACATCAATTTTAAAGGAGTATAAGGTTTCAGCATGCATTGTCTACTTGCCAATTTAACATGGAGTACGGACGTTAAAAGGCTCCTATATATAAAGGATCCAGTGGGTTTAAAAGTTATTTTGTTTTTAAAGGAGTATAAGGTTTCAGCAAGCATTGTCTACTTGCCAATTTAACATGGAGTACGGACGTTAAAAGGCTCCTATATATAAAGGATCCAGTGGGTTTAAAAGCAAGTTATTTTGTTAACAGTTAGCAGGCAGCGAGGGGCATAAGGTCATTCGGTCAGATAACTGACAGTCAAATGACCCGGCAACGTTTGTTCGTGTGGTGTGAGGGGGGTCGGGAAAGTGCATCGGTGCACACAGAACTGTGCGGGCAGTTTGACGAGGAGAGTTTCGTTTGAGGACCCTCTCCTTGAGCCTTTGGCTCAAAAGTCTGACGCACAAGGCAGTGGGACGATGTAAGGTTTTGTTCGGGGACCCTGCCCGGAGCCGATGACTCGATAGTTTGACCTGCTTGGCTGCAAGGGGTTGGTC